TGGGTTCGTTGGCATGAAATTCAAGCAATCTCGTTGGCATGAACTATTTTTTGAAAAAGTGGATGGGGGAAGGGGGGGAGAGATTTTTGAAAATGTGTCAGTCTCACAAAAATCCTGTCCCGACAAACGAAAACGAAAAACAAGGAATAATATGCCACTCCCTGGTTCTTGGTTGGATAGTGAGTGTGCAGATGCAGAAGCGTATGCCAATGCTACCAGGATCTTGTATAGTGGGTGCCCTCTGTGTCTAGAAGAAGATACCTGCAACCTTTGCTTTGAGTTCAAGCTCAACAAGTTGAGGGCTCCAGGTGATAGGTGGGCCACCAGAAACCTAAAAGACCACGCTCCAATTTCACCTCCGGAAACGCTGTCAGCGAGTCGAATCCTCTTTATGGAGAAGATGGGCCATGTTTTGATAGTGGATCGGGTGCTAATAGTAAGAAGAAGAGAAGCAAGAAGACCAGTGACAAGAAAGGAACCTGTCAAGGGAAGAAGACTGGTGAGAAGAGGACTGCAGTAGGTGGTCAAAGGTCAAGGACTGCCAAGCACAGACAAGGGAAGAGGAAGGAGTCTAGCAGCGGAGCAGCGGAGAGCAAACAATCAAGGCTGAACTTCACAGTAGAAGGATACCCAAGAGAGTCATCTGAGTACGAGCCTAGTGAGGGCAAGATAGTGTACAGGCCGCCGGGCTATGGACAGAGCAAGGAGGACGAGGAAGATGGCATCATAGCTCGCCACTGTGACATCTGTCACCTCAAACCATGCCTTGCCACTGCTTGGGACCAGAAGATTCGTGATAGCTGCCACAAGCACTTGATAGCTGACTATTGAAGTCAATAGCTCTAAGGGTTTAACTGGAGGTTAGAAACAATTATGAGCTATTGTCTTTGGTGGCTGTCCCCGAACGGCGGTTAGCGTCGGTAAATGCCGTTAGGGGATCTGCTGGATCTACATCTAAGTAATGGTCCCGCGAGCCGGGCAGCCATGCTGGTTGGCTTCGTGGGACGTGCTTCTGGTGGATATAGGGTCAATGTCGCAGTGGGACTGGGACTTTAACACACCCTCGCACAAGGAGTACGGAGTGTGGATGTTGATGTTGCTGGTGTGATTGGCTTGGGAAGGCATGGTGGAGCTGTGTGTGGTGTCTGGTTCATACAGGTAGGTTTGGCGCATCTTTTGGTGATGTTTGGCTGGGTGGTGTTTGGAAGGGTAGTCGGCTAGGTTGAGGGAGCCAGGTTGCCAGTAGACTGTGTACTGGTTTTGGTTGACTCTGTCTTGCAACCAGTAGAAACGCATGTCAATGGCCTTGGAGCGTTTTTGTTTTACGGTGTCATTGATGATGCCTTCGGCGACTTTGTTGTCGATGCGCATTGGGGTGGCTGGTTGGGAATGGCCGAGGAATTCTAATGTTGTCCTGAGGGGACAGCCTTCCTGGCCACATTCAAAAGCTGCCCCGGTTTCTGCTTCTGCTGCGGAGGAGACCACCATTTTGAGAATGGGGCTGATGACTAGGATGGGTCCGTTGTGGAGTGGTGGTTGTGGTGGTGCTGCTGCATCGCTGCAGTAGAAATATCCCGCTGCTCTGGATCGTGCGTTGGGTTCACTTAAGTAGGAAGCGTCACTGTCGATTCGGAGTATCATGGGGCTGTGTTTGTAGCGGATGGTTGCATTGGGGTGCGTGGCTGCATAGTCGAGTAGTTTGTTGCAGGCTTTGAGAGTGTTGGTGGTTGGTGTTGCCTGGG